GAAAACCCATCAGGCTATCATCAGACTTCTCAACAGAAACCCTACAGGCCAGAAGAGAATGGCATGGTATACTTAATGCAATTAAACACAAGGGCCTTGAACCAAGAATACTGTATCCAGCATGATTATCATTTAAATATGAAGGAGGGATTAAACAATTCCCAGACAAGCAAAAGTTGAGGGAATTTGCCTCCCATAAACATTCCCACTAATATTTACCCGCCTCACCTGTTTCACCTATATCCACCTCACCATGGCAATCACCAGTCTATTCTCTGTTTGAGTTTATTTCTGTTTTTATTTGTTCATTTGTTTTGCTTTTTAGATTCTACATATAAGTGAAATCATACAGTGTTTATCTTTTTCTGTCTGATTTATTTCACTTAGCATAATACCCTCTAGGTCCATCCATGCTGCTGCAAATGGCAAGATTTCATTCTTTTATAAGGCTGAGTAATATTTCATTGTATACATGTACCACATCTTTTTTTATCCATTCATCTATTAATGCACATATAGGTTGCTGCTTCTCAATTTATTTTTAATAGTTTTTTTTTCATATGAGATATGCTATAATAATCAAATGTATAATATTTGTGACTATTTTATATTCTTGGTAAATATTACCTTTTCCAATATAAAAGTTTCTCATTTTCATTTAATGCGTCTGTTTTTTTGGTATGGATTTTATGATATCCAAGAATGATACTGTCACTTGTGATACTGTGTTGTTCATGATAGCCAGTATTATGCAAGAGCATAGTTTGCAAACCACAATAACTCCTGCTCCACAGTAAAAAAGAAAATATTTTTATATTGAGTTTAATTTTCAATGACTTTTAATGAGAAGGTTTTAATAAAATTGCTCTTGGGTATCTTCCTTTTGCCACATATGTTAATGTTCCAAAGCTAAGATATTGCTATCTAGAGCAGTAAATTGTGCATTTATGTAAACTCAGGATTTCTATTTTGTCATTGTCAGAGGGAAAATACTACCCCCAAACCCTGTCTGCTTTTGGGTAGTGCTTGGAACCTAGTTGATAACTGTTACTAGTAAGAGTTTTTAAGGTCTCTTTAGCCTACCAGATGTGTAGAGAGAAGACAAATTATGTTTTATAAATAAGGAGAAGAGACTTTTAACATTTTCTGACAGGTTAAATTGGCAATTTTTTAACAATAACCTCTGTGAGATTACAATGTAGAAATGTGAGGAAGAACCAATTATAACATAATCAGATTCCCTTCTTATTCCCAGTTCTGTGTTAGAATTCAAAGCATAAATAATACTGAGGTGTTCATACTGCTTTTTGTCCACATCTGGTGCTAAACAGTCTGATATTTCTATCCGATTCTCTTTTAGTCTCTTCCAGCCTCAAGACTGGAGCCTGAACTGCTGTAAATTATAATGAAAATAAATATTCATCAATTCTTCCTTTTCTGTATATCTTTAGTAGTGTAGCATTGTCTATCTTGTATGCAAAATCAGTAAGGTACAGTGGCTGCCTTGTTATTTGAGCCTTCACAAAATGATTAAAAAAAATTCTTGGTAGGTACCTTGCATTCTATTACTTCATTTACTGTAGCATTGACTAGGGCCTCACTATAAAACCCTTAGAAATTAAAAAAATGTCTCTGTCACTTTTAGGGACAGGCAGATATAAACAGTCCACTTTAAAGTCCACCTGCAGCATTTGGTTGTGTGTCAGGTTTCATTCTCATATTTAAACCACTTTTATGAATCAGGGTTGGAGTTAAGAAGGAAGACTATCAGGCTGCTGATTTGGTAATTTGTATACTACATCCTTTTAAAATTGAGGTATAATTGACATTTAACATTATATTAGTTTCAGGTGTACAGCATGATTTGCTGTTTGTATACAGTGTGTAATGATCACCACTTTAAGTCTATTTGTCTGTTACCATACTTAGTTACAAGACCATCTGTCACCATACTTAGTTACAATTCTTTTTTATTTGGTGAGTACTTTTAAGATTTATTCTCAGCAACTTTCAAATGTTGTTGCATCTTACTTACAGGGAAAGACTTCCTTTTTCTTTATTCCTATTTGTTCAGTTTCATAGCTTACTATTTGTTTTTTTTCTAAAGGGTTTAGATCAAGGGAGCTACAAATCAGAAGAATAAATTGTCATATTTCATCTTAGATATATTCATGGAAGTATCTGGCAAGTACTTTAGTGGTCCATCCTGCGAATTGTTCAAGTGCTGTAAACCAAGTAGTAGTATTTATGTTTCTCTTGCAAACCTGGTTTTCCTTCTGTTTACCTCCTCTTTCTTGATGCCAAGAAGTGTTCCAAAACAATAAGAGACTTTTCTTTAGGAAATTGTCAGTCACAGGAAAACAATTTAGTAGATGGCTTATAAAGAGCAGAATAGCTAATGCCTTCTTGAGAAGATCATCTACTGCTTAAGTACCTGTCTTACCGAAGTAGGGCCAAGATGTATAAAGTACACATATCTTCAGATATTATGGTATAGGTCATTCCTGAAGTGTGATAAAAAATGAGGAACCTTTTTCAGATCATTGGAAGAGGAGGGCATAGATCTTTATGCTACCTTGGAAGTTTTTTGTTAGGCATGGTAACAATATATAAAATATATACAAAAACCAATATTTTAAATATATAAATAATTATATATATTTAATATATAACTCAGTATATAAATAAAATACGTATTCACTATTAGTCTCCAAACAAGTGAAATACTTAGTATTATAAATTATAGCACAAATGGTTCACAAAATCAATCTGGTAACTTCCAAATCTTATGTTGAGTTTTGGAACTGTTAATATGGTCTCTTGTTTTGCTTAGCTTCTACTAGTTTTAATGAATTCCTTTTTGAGCTACAACTTGACAAAATAAATTTTTTTCAAATGAATTACCCATTAAATTGGCAGTCATTAAGTAACTTGGAGCTGCAGTAAGTGGAGACTTTCTCTTCACATCCACAGTACTGTTAGGTGCTGAATCCTCTTATAGCTTCTAAGAGCAATTACTTAAAAAATTTTTTATACTTATGATAAATTTGAAATACCTTAGTTAATTAGGCCACAGTAGTAGTAGTATAACAGTGGGTGCTTAAGACTATGTGCTCCTTTTGGGGGTTTGCCTGTTTTGAATCCTAGCTTTACTAACTAAACAGAAGCTGGTAGATAGTGTTGAGATGTGAGGATTTGAGGGGGAAGATGACTCATGAAGGAGCCAGCCAATCAGAAAGGATGCTATTTGTGGATGGAACATCCAGAAGGCCCTTTTTATGCCAGGAAGTAACTCTTATTTGGTGGATGATGGGGAGTCCTCCAGAGTGGAGAAGGCATTCAGGAGGTTTGGGGAGCAGCTAGTTAACCGCAATGAAAGTACTTCAGTATTACAACTAACATGTCTGCACGGGTGCATATTGGCTGTATATCAGCCTTTGCCTAACATCAAAGTTGTATGTTAGGCAAGGGAACAATGAAATTCAGAGGCAGGATTGCCAGCTAACCTGCCCCTACAACTCTGTGTCACTTACACTCCAAATATCTGACCATCTGACAGTGTTATGTCCCCTGTTATCACTTGGTATCCTTACTAGTCTGTTCATCTTGTCCTGCCTTTCTCCTGCCTGAATCACCCTCTCCTAGTATTACTTGACAATCATCTTAATTTAAAGAATTAATTTAGTACTAGCTGATGTCACACAGTTAGTTGTTTATTCAGAAGCAGGTCTTGTCAACATCTTTGGAAAACAAAGAATAAATATATCACATTTAAATCCTCCTAAAGTTGTTTTGTGTTTGTATAGTACCATATAGCCTGCCAAATAATTTATGTTCCTATTTGATTTACCAGTTGTAGTTTCTTAGAGCTACCCATAACAAAGGACACAAACCCAGTAGCCTAAACAATAGAAGTATATCGTCTCACAGTTCTGGAGGTTAGAAGTTCAAAATGAAGGTGTTGGCAGACTTGGTTCCTTCCAAAGAAGAAGAATCTGTTTCCAGGCTGGGTTTCTAGTGGTTTACCAGCAATCTTTTGTGCAACTTACAGATGCAACATGCTGATCTCTGCATTCATCTTCACATGGTGTTTTCTCTCTGTCTCTTCATATAGTCTTCCCTCTGTGCATGTCTTTGTTCAGATTTCCCCTTTACGTAGGATACCAGTCATATTGAATTAATTCCTATCCTAAGGACTTCATCTTGACTATATTTGCAAACACCCTATTTCCAAATAAGTTTACCTTCTAAGGCACTGGGCATTAGGACTTCAGCTTATCTTTTTCAGGGGATACATTTCAACCCATAACACTAGTACTAAGTTTTCTTTTCTGTTTCAGTCATAGGTATTTGAGGATATCTGCCATATTGGTTATTGGTTTTTATTGTTTTGTTTTAAATAACTGAAATTTTTCTTTAATTCTAAGTAGATTTTTTTCTAAATGATATGTTTTATACTAGAGACCAGTAATCATCCAGATTATCTGCTTAGTAGTCATATTTTCTATGGATATATTTACTACTTTGTGAAAACACTTGCTTTTGAAATTTTAATATAATTAAATGATGGGATGAATGACAATTTGAAATCTGCATGCTACAGATACCATTTTTATTTTCTTGTGGAAACCCTTTGGTAATATTTGTCTAGTCTGGCCATGGTACATTCTTTAACTATACTCCTTCCTTAGGCAGTGATTAATCTTATTTCTAGGAAGCTTCCACAGGTAATCAGATCAAGATTTTTTGTATAGTATTAAAATAAGCCAGATTAAATGTTCTATTGCGACCAGTTCTTCATTAGACTCAGACTTTTACATTGGAACTTCCTTGAGATTCTTCAAGTTATGTTATGTTCACAAGTGTGATTTCAGATAGTGTTTTAAAAAATCAAAGAAGAGTTTGGTTTTTTAATGAAAATCATTGGGAAAATATTAGAGGATACATAAATATTCCCTTTATACTTTTAGATTACTAATAGTGTAAACATGTTTCTGCAGGTGTTGACTGGATCATCTCATCAAAGTTATTCACCTTCTGGCTATCAGGATTTCAGTAAGTGGGAATCAGTGCTGAAAATAAAAGAAGGACTACTAAGACAGAAAGAAATTGTAATTGATCGGTGAGTCTATTTTTTAAAAATTATTTCTTCAGGCACATAGAAATATAGATTAATGAATACCGTTGTATCCACTACTTAGAGTTTAAGGAATAGAACCTTACAAATACATTGATATTTCATGTTTATCCTTTCCTGATACCAGTCACTGTAAGAACTGAAATTTGGATGGTCAGTCTGTCTGCCTGTTTTCAGCCATCCTTCCATTTTTATTAGAGTAACCCATTATTTGGAAACTCCCCTGCTTTTTCTTTGTTCATATAACAAGTTAGCCACAAAGGTAATGAACTATCAAAGCTGTAAGGTACAGAGTCTTTGTGTTTGCACTTGGGGACTATCAAATTGGAAAGCTACTTTAAAGTACTAATTACTTTAATACAGGTTAGATCTGAAGGCAAAGAAACTATGAAAATCACGAATGTTTAAAATAAAATAACTTAGAGATAACAATTTTGGTAATTTAGGGGGGCATTGAAAAAATGTTGTATTTTTATGTATGGAAGCTCAAAAAATTCTTTTATACTTAATAGCTTCCTGATTATTTTTGAGCAATAAATATTAATATTACTCAACTATATTATCTATGATATATAGATATTGGTTCTATATTATTTATGTATGTTTTTGGGATAATTAAACATGTAGGGTATAATGGTAATTGGGAAATAGTTTGAGGAGGCATTTTTTCTTAATGCCAATTACTACTTATTTTCATGGGTTTATATGGGATTAAGTAGTAGACATTTAGCCTTAAAATTAAATCCTAAGTCAGTCTTCAAATATATTTAATAGTTGAAATTTCAAAAGATTTTTCTTAGAAATTCATCAGTATTAAGCAAGATCTACTGGAATATAAACAAGAACATAGAAATCTGAACTTTCTTGTTATCCACTATGTTTCCAGCATCTTGAATAGAGCCTAGCACAGAGTATATGCTTATTAATGCTTGGTACTTCCATATTTGATAAATGAATGAAGACTGTAAAAGATAGTTTTGATTTTATGAAAAAGTTATTTTAAAATATTAGATATTTGTTGTACAAATGAATTTTATATATGAGTAATTACAGATAACTAGAGATATCTCCATCACTATACATACTTGAAATTAATACTTTTTTAAACAGACCAAAATTCAGACTTAAACATGAATGTACTTTCCTTCAAGCAATCAGAATCATTTGGCTTTTATCACTTTTTTGAACAACATTGTAATTACCAGTCCATTTAGGTATACATTAATAGGTGCCTTGGTCCATCTGGGCTGCTATAGCAAAATATCATAGCCTTGGTGGCATAGACACAATAGAAATTTATTTCTCCCAGATCTGGAGGATGGGTAGAAGAGGGTCAAGGCACTAGCAAAGTTATTTGTCTGGTGAGAGACAACTTCCTGGTTCTTGCTATAACTCACATGGTGAAAGGGGCAAGGGAGCTTGCTGGGACATCTTTTATAAAGGTACTGATCTTAGTCATGAGGGCTTATTTCTGACAACCTAATCATCTCCCAAAGGCCATGATATTGGCCATTAAGATTTAATATATGAATTTGGGGTTGGGGGACACACATACACATTCACTATATGGCATTAGGAATGCAAATAACTATTGAGATAATCTATTAAAAATGTATTTCTCAAATTTTTTGTATTGTATCATATTAAGGAAATAATCCTAAATAATTCAGGTTGCTCAGTTGGCCACTTCTTCATCTAGTTCTTCAACTAGTTTCATTCATGCATTCAATGCATGTAGCTGTGTTTTTAGGTAACAGCTGGCTGACCTAGGATAGGCTCAGCTGGATGGCTTGTCTTTGCTTCAGGTAGTCTCTTATCTTCCAGCAGGCTCGCCTGGGCTGTACCTATGGTGGCTGGGTGGAATTCAAAGAGTAAATGAAACATGCAAGGTCTCTTGAGGTTTAGGCCTGAGTGGAACTGGCTCAGTATCACTTCCACTACATTCTTATTGGTCACAGGCCAGTAGACTTTACTTTTGGGCAATAGGAACAGCAAAATTACATTGTAAAGGAACATAAATAATAGAGGGAGGGAAATAATTGTGAGTGGTTTTGTAAACAGTACATCACAGTATCTTAAATAATCTCTGATTTTTTTTTACAAGGTTATTATGAAAATTTTGGTAATCAACATATTTGCTATTGTACAAAACAGAAGAAAAAGTAACTTGTTTCTAAAGCAACATAACTAACATTTAAAAGTAAAAATATTCATATGTAAAATTCTCTGTAATGTGTAGTGTTAAAAATTACCATATTCACTTACATGTGAAATCTGAAAAACAAAACTAACAAAGAAATAAAACAGAAATAGACTCACAAAGACAAAGACTTTTGGTTACCATGGTTAGGAGGGGGAAGTTCAGGTGAAATAAGTGAAGGTGATTAAAAGAAGTACAAACTTCTAATTATAAATTAGTCATAGGGATGGGAGTACATCATAGAGAATATAACCAATATTATTATAATATCTTTGTATGGTGACAGATGGTAGCTACACTTATTGTGGTGAATATTTAGTACCATATGTAATTGTCCAATCACTATGTTGTTCATCAGAAGCCAATGTAATATTGTATATCAATTATATTTCAATAAAAATGTTAAAAATTAGAACCGATCTGTAGCATAACTTTTTCCAGGAACTAGATTAGACTAAGGAATGGCCTTTAAAATGGCAATAACACATGCAGAGTCTATTTCAGAGAAAGAATTGACAGGATTTGTTGTCCAACTGGATGGAACTGAGAGTAAAGATCTGACCTTTCAATTTTGCAATATGGTATGATTAATGATACCTGGATATTGTGTCTGAAAATATCACATTAGCCACAACTGTGTGAGAAGAATGTGGGTTTTTTTTTACAATGTATATGACTTCTATAGTTGTAGTCTCTGGATAATTACATCAGATCAAATATTCCTAAATGTGCCCCATCGCAGGAGAAAAAATATTTAACTTTAAAGAACAACTCAAAAAAATAAAAAAAAGAAAATCTTGTTTCTGATTCTTTATATTTGACCTTTTGCATATTGATCTACTTATCTTCCTGGCTATAGCAGTTTTAACTCTTAAAAATGATATTTTTTTGAAGATGACTTTGAGGCAATTCCCTTTGTACACCTTAGTTTTAGAGCCATGAGGATTAAGTGAATGTGAAAGGAAAGGAGCGACACATAGCAGCAATTCACCGGAGAGTTCCGCTTTATTAGGGAAAGGTGCTGGGTTATATAGGAAGGGGCATGAATTGATTGAGGTGTCACTTCTACGGGGCTGGTGGCTGTTGGCTAGGTGCTGGGATTGGGAGGGGGGCGAGAGGTGATTGGGCTTCAGGTGGCGC